GTGGTTTAGAGGGAGAACTTCTAAATTTACATGATGGAAATGCCAACTACGTGGCTCAAGGAGAAATTCGGCGGGTCTGAGCGTATGGCCTCACACCATCCTTGTCTTCTGCTGTGTTTCCACAGGTGTCACCACCGTCCTCACCATGACCACGCTAAGCATCAGCGCAAGAAACTCTTTACCTAAAGTGGCGTACGCGACGGCCATGGACTGGTTCATAGCCGTCTGTTATGCCTTTGTGTTTTCTGCGCTGATCGAATTTGCCACCGTCAACTACTTCACCAAGCGCAGCTGGGCTTGGGATGGCAAGAAGGTGCTGGAGGCCCAAGAGATGAAGGTCAGCCCTGCGGCCGAGGCCGGCGGGAGGGGAGTGGTGAAGAAACGCTACACGAGAGAGTTGTGCTGGGGCCAGAAGTGGGTAACGTGCAGCCCTGCAGCACTACGGGAGGCTGGATGCTACTTACTGGGGTCCCCAGCTCAGGTCTTGACTGGAGCGGTTCTTGAGGGTTGAGGGAGGAAGGGCTTGGAGGACTGGTCGCTGCGGAGAAAAAACGCCCAGGCATGCCTGCTCACTTTGCCCTGACTGCTCACGCCGCCCTCTGTCCTTCTGCACAACCATTTGCCGGTAGAAACGCAATGTTTTACATGCATGTTCTGGTCTTGCTCCGCTGGTGGCCTTCTCTCCCCTTCCTTCTGCCTCCAATCTGCTCCATGTCACTAGCGTGCCAACCCAAATATGCCATGGTGTGCCCGCCTTGTTGATGGAGACAGTCCCATCCTGCTGTGTCCCCTGCGGCTGGTGTCCCCAACCATCAGTCTGCCCTGGCATGAGCAAGCTCGGTGCACGATGGGGAGGTCCAGCCCTCATGCTGGTGCCCACTGCTGGCAGCTGCTGCTTTGGAAGCTCAGATAAAGAGGGTGGGTAAGAAGCAAGCGATCAGAAACAGTGACTGGCAGCAAATTAGCGCCTGGCATCACCCACGTTTTCCCTTCTCGCTCAGGATCAGCCTCTCTCGCAGCTTCTTTTCTGACAGCCATCGCTCTACCCCTGCTTGTGCCCCCTCCCTCCTAACTGATTGAATCTCTTCTGTGCAGAGAAATCGCTTACTGTAGCATGCTGCTCCTTGTTTATATTTATTGAGTCAATTTGAAAATCAGCTTTGTCCTTGTTCTTGGTTCTGGAACCTTTGTATTTTTTTCTCCTTTGCATTTTAATGTGTTGTTTAAAATTGGTGTGAGGCCGTATGCAAATACCTGGCGGAATTGCAGTAACTTTATGGAAGACAGCAGCCAGTCATCTCTCTGGTATGGAGGTCAAAGCAGGAGAACAGAGGCCTTTTGGAAAACCACAGCTGTCACTGGATGTTTAATTCCTCTCTCTTGTGTTTCTTGGACTCTATCTCTTTGCTTTTGCAGCTGTGGTCTGAGCAACAGACTCATGGCAGAAAGGCTCCAGAGGGGACCAGTTGATGGTCCTCCACTTCGATCATGAACAATAACGCTAATCTGGCCTCTAGAGAAGAGACAAGCCTTTCCTGGGTCATAGGTATGAGTGAAGGACCAGAACAGGTCCTCAGAAGAACTATGTCCCTTTCAGGGTTGGGCAAATCAGCACAAAGTCAGGATTCACACAGCGTTGGGCAGTCACGTGAACTGGGCACAGCTGAAAAAGCAGCCAAGGCTCAAAAGCTTCAGTTTGTCATCGAAGAAGCATGCTCCTTAATTTATTCATTGACCCAGCACTGCAAGACTAACAGTGCTGAAACAATAGGCTAAGAGCATGCAGAATGTTTGTGCACGTGGTAATCAAACCAGAAAAGAAAGCAGGACCAGGAGGGTTTCAGAGGGAGTGCTCTTCGTGAGCTTGCTGCAAGTGGTGTCAGGCTGCAGAGTCAAGAGGGACTCCAAATTTGTGGATTTTTTTCAAGCTAACACTGATCTTTATCTTAGAAGGTTACTCCCTCCCAGTGTGTGCAGCTCAGAGAGCTCACTGAGGAGTGGGGGTCTGTCAGGGAGCTTGGGAATACAATCACAGAATCACAGAATTGTTGAGGCTGGAAAAGACCTCTGAGTTCATCAAGTCCAGCCTATGATGGCATGATGTGTCACCATGTTTGCTTTTCATCTTTTTCCATCAAATACTTCCAAGCAGTGAGTTTGCTACACAATAAAGGTGCCTCATTGGCTCAGTTTCAGCCTTTAATTAGCTCTTCTTGAAACAATTGACAAGCTGGGTGGTTGGAACCACAAAAGAAAGAGGAGGCAGAAGACAGTTATTGGCATTTTAAAGTGTTTGTACCAGGAGTAAAACTACTGGTGACAAGCCCAGGCTAAACTCTGGTCTCTGGAGAGTTTTAGGATCCTCACTCCAGTTTTGGTTTTTTTCTTGCGTGAACATGAAAAAAAAATAAATCAATAAGCATCAGCCCTTCTCTCACCTCAAATGTAGGCAGCAGCAATGCTTCCCATCTCATCTGAAAGAAATTAGGACCTTGCAAAAGCTGCTGGCTGCTGACAGGCACTCCCAGCATGTTCATTCTCTCAGGCCTGGTTCCATTCTTCCTTTCTCTTCCTCAGCCACTGCATCAGTTTAGATGGGAACAGAGCATTTTTTTCAGGTAGAGTCTAACATGATGGGCTGATCCTGGTAAATTGCTAATCTCTGCATCATAAATGACGTTCTGGCTATAGCCACCGTTGGGTTCCGGTTCAGGCTGGAAGCTACTCTGCACATTCTTTCCCATTCTCCTCTAAGGAAAGGCAGGTAGATATCACCACAGGCGTCCTTAAAACCCCCGTTTAGTGCTCACTCTGGTAAGATTTGACTGATATTTTCTGGACCCAAAGATTTTCCAAGCCTTTCCTGCCTGCCACCAGTAATTGCTAATTGTGGATGAACAATTTCCTTTATACTAAAGCGGCTGCAACTAATTTAGAGATACAGATCAAATTGGAGAGAGGTATCTGGATCCAACACGGAAAACCTGTTAGGAAAGATGATTTTTTTAAAAAAAAACATCATCAGGAGGAGGGTGGGAGGCCAAAGGGACAGAAAGATGAGTCATTTCAATAGCCAGCAAAGCTCCCTGCCTCCAGCATCCTCAAAATATCTCGTTAAAAGGATCCACTTCAGGAGAGAAGGGCTGTGTCTGAGCAGAGTGAAATCCATCCATCCCATCTGTTCCAACCATAGGGATAACCATCTCTGGAGCCAACGAGATAATTTTCTGAGCGGCTGTTACAATGAGGATTGGGAGAGAAAACCGTTATTGGTGACTTCACCACTGGGAAACTCTTGAAGTCTGCAAGGATGACATTTACCAGGGAGTTCCCTGCAAAAAAAAGTGTTCTCTGTTCCTCAAGAAGGAAGATGCTTTGGATCTTTGGAAGACACTTACCTAAACTTGCTTCTACCTGCAGTGCCATTTCTATATATAAAATCTGATTTTGCTTTGTATCTGTGCTTGCACGGCATTGCCCTGAAGCCCTGGGCAGCAAGAAGCAGTAAAAACAATACAAGTAGCTGCAGTTGGACACAGGAGAACAAGGAAGAGGACACATTGGGTGGAGGAATAGTTCTGGATCCATCCTTCTCACCTTTAAGGTAATAATCCTGTAGTGCACGGTGAGAAGGTTAGGTCTGGGCTTTTAATGCACTTTTCACATGTCTTTTCGTGAAGATAAAGTCACCAATAAGCATTGTCCAAACTTGTTTGTTATGATCACCATGGTTTTCTTTCTTTTATTTTGGAAGTGATGGGCATGCTTGCCATTTGTGCTGGGTGCCTTTTCCACTGACCGAGTAAAGCCTAGGTTTTTGCCCAACTCACTCTTCAGCGATTCTGAAGCTTGTCCCTTGATCCAGGTAACTTGGAAATCATTCCTCTTTCCCCTTTGTTTCTTTCTATTTGTGGTATCTTTGTTTCAATCCCTTCCTTGCCAACAGAGAGGAAATAAAACCAACCTTGAGGAACTAAACCCAACCTTATCAGACCACCACTTTCAACCAGTTTGAAGTCTTACAGATTCATGGGGTGTTTTTTCTCTATCTCACTATAGTAAAAAAGATTTTGCTGGGACTTCCCTTTGCTGACCGTCCTTTGCAGCCATTGTGTCTGTCCTTTGTCCTACTGCACTTGCAATCACCCGTAGCTCTCCATAGCACTGCAGGTGGTTTATGTTCTCAGCATCTTCGCTAGAGTCCATGTATCGTCTTCGAGAACGCTTCACCCTCTTTCTCTCAACACTATGTGTGTGACGTGTCGGGCTGGTTATCGACTCCATCCAACCTTTGAGTCTTTGTCTGGTGATCCAGTGGGCGTAAGATCATTTGGCTCAGTCCAACATAATCGGAATGAAGAGATGGGAGGAATGAGCCGATGCCAAAGGTTGCAACACCAGCAGCTGACAGTAGCCTGGCATTGATGTAGCCTTCTTGGTAATGCAAGGTGGCATTTTTCGGAGCCTTTGGCACTGCTCAGGGTACAGGTGTCTCAGTGTGAAACATTTTGCTGCTGTTCTCTGATAGGATCAAGCCTCTGGCACACTGCAGAGAGGAACTTTGGCTGGCCTGAGGAAGGAGTGACGCGTTTGCTGGAACAGCAACTGGGCTTTGAATTATAGGATGCAAGTATGTCAGAGACTAGAGCTGCTCAGAGGTCATTAAAGTGATTTTTTAGAATGGCAAGTGGCAGATACCATGCATTTCTCAAGTATTATTGATGATGACCTTCAGAGTGGCCTGTCAGAGGGACAGTGATTACAACCCAAATTTCTAGCCCAGGAGCAGACACAGAGAGCTAAATCCCCAGCAAGATCATAGACAGAATCTTACGTTCCCATAATTTAGAGGTTCAGTCATTAGCTCCTCAACGGGGAGGCTTGAAGACGAGTATTTAACAGAAATGCTATTATTTTCTAGTATGTGTGTTGTGGGAGAACTTGTCAGACTGCAATATCCAGGGAAGACATTTATCTCTAGACAAACTTCCACAGTTTTTTGCTCAGGAGAGCAGTTCAGGTACAGCTTTGTGCAGACGTTCAGCCTCCCTGTGCCCAAACGGGGCCAGAAATGCAAGAGCTGCATTGCACCGTAGATGTTTTGAACAGAACAAGTTTTCAAAGCAAATGTGAGGTTTCCTTCTGTTTTTCCCCTCTTTCTTTCCGTTTCAGAAGGATGTGGAACCCCTCAGAGGTAATGGTGCGGGGGGAAGGCTGGGGGCTACTTCCCAGCTGACAGCAACAGGCACGTTTTCCTTTGTTTGGTTGTCAAATTCTCGCATGAAATATGCGTTTATAAAGCCCAGCCCAGTAAGCTTCAGGCTGAAGCATTTCTTCTGACTTCTCAGGAGCAGAGAACATCCAGAACCATGCACATGTGGTGTAGGCAGCGTGTGCCCTGGGTGCTTCCCAAAGCTCTGACCAGAGCAGAAGTCTCCGCAATCAACTGGAAAAAGACCTTGGCTGTAGGCTTCCAAGCCTCTGCACTACCTGAACAGCCTGATCCGAGGTCCAGAAAAGCCCAAGTTGATGTTTGCAGGCTGTGGGTCACACTAATAGGAGGAATATCTTCTTGTCACCACCCACAGCATCCATTTGCCTGACTTTTCTGCATTTCAGCCTTCTATTTTCTGATGCCTTTGACCAGGCGAGACAGATCCACTTTCTGAGCTCTGGGGCACAAAAGCTAGCCAGGTTGAAAATGTCGTGTCACTTGTAGTCATCTTATTCCTGTACCGAATAACGCAGCTGATTAGTGCTAAAATAATCACAGTGCACTTCAAATAACATTCTGCAAACAACGATTCGTTTTTAATTTCATTACTGATTATTAATTATTTTATTACCCCCTGTAGCTGTGTTAATAAGTAATCATACTTCATATTTCAGTGGTTTAGGAGGTGGAACATTGTCAGTCCTTTATTTACTTTTTGTCAGCTCTTTAGCAGGAAAAATTCACCCGCTGCCCGGAGGATGAAAGTTAACTTGGCTCTAGTGATCACGGAAAATCAGTCGCTCAGTTGATTGTTAAAGATCATAACACCCCTTCCCATAAAAGACGATGAATGTGGTCTGATCAGTGGTTTAGTCGGAAGACATTTAGACCTCCTCCTAACAGCAAGTTAATTTCTGTAATTGCTGGCATTATTACAAGCCTGCAGGCCTGTGATGTTATTGGAAAGGTGCTTAAATGTTGCGCAGAAGTCCACTTTAAGCGTCCCTCTGAAAACCACTGTAGGAAATTCATTTCCTAAGGCAACCAGAAATATCCCTGGCAGTTGTGGACACATTTAAAACAGAAATACGGCGCGAAAACTAAAGCCCTCAGAGCATCTCTGCAGAGCAGACTGGACAAATCTGGCCCTTCCAGCTCCCAGTGCTGCCCGGTGATGCTGCCTGCTACCAGTTCCCAGGCTAGGCTGGGGAGGTGAACAGGTCCTGCTGGCTGCACGCTTTCTCCTTCTAACAGTCACTTTCTACACGGTTCCCTCATACACACATGCAAGACCGTGCCAAGCACCCCTGGGAAATCTCTAGCTGAGCCTTGCCTTGTGTTCCTGTTGCTTTTGAATAGAAAATGAGATCCAAAGTCACACCTTATTTTGAATTCAGATGTTATTAGGTTCCCACCGTGAGTCATTGCTGTGTCTCCTGCTGGCTCTTGGGGTGATTGCAGTGGACACCGTATGGAGTACGGGAGTGCTGGGATTTGTGGGGTGCCTGATGGCTGTGTACAAATAGATTTCATTGAGTGGGCTTCTCCTGGTAGACCTGGATTGCTTTATACAATAGAGCCTATGGTGCAGCTGGTCTCAGGTCCCTGACATCAACGGGAAGATCCCCAGAATGAGGGTAACACCCATCACGACTTCCTAGCTCCGTCTTCCTCTCCACTTATCTGCACTGTCTGTCTTCAGTGTCTTCCATCGTCCTTCAGTATATCCTGTCTGACACATAAGTGTCCCTTTTGCCATTTGCTGCCCGAGCTCTCCTTCCTTCAGCGTGGCTGTCCCTGGAGCCTTGTGTGAAGGGTCTCTTGATTTTCAGCAACCATTTAGCTCCGAAGGCGAGATGAAAGACTTCTCTCTGGTGTATGGTGCTGTGTTGAGCAATCCTGAAACCCAGGGCTAGTGCAAATGCCTTCCATCTGATCTGTATCTTACCTGGGGAGGTCAGGAGGTGCTCTAAAGCGTCCCAGAGGCATTTTGAACATCGTAATGTTAAATTTTGAGGTATTCCTATGAGATATTTGGGGCACTGAGGCAGTGAATATAGTGCAAAAATATTATGATGCTGTCACCTGTGTTTTTAAAGTCACTGGTTTTCTGCTACAAAAACAAACCAAAAAAGAGCTATAATACTCTGTGATGTCTCCTCCTGTCACCTGGCCCAGGAAGCAGACCAGCAAAACAGAAAATCAAGTTATTCACCCCAGGATGACCACAGGGGGTGTCATTCCTTTTCTAGAGACTACATTCCTGCATTGTTTCTCCATGGCTGAACCTTACATGCATCAGAAAACACTGCCAAGCTGAGAGACAAAACAAAGAGTCTGTAGAGTTTGAGCCTGTGTTCACTTACACTGACCTGGCGATAGGCTTGGCAGCACTTGGCCAATCAAGGACTCACCCATCTGGGGCAGCTACTGCCCAGGTGCAGCTGCACACACCTTTGTATACCACCGCTAAGTGGCTGCAAGGAGGCTACAAACCCAGCTGTGTGGCTTCAGTTAACTGACCTGCAGCAGGAGCTGCCAGGGCAGGACCTCTCTGTGCTGCGTGCTGCGCACTGGTCTCACACAGAGCAGCTTGTCCACCCTAGTCCAGCACGTCCTTCTGCTCCGGCAGCCCTCAAGTGGCAGGTGTCACGGCTTCTGGCTCTCTTCTCACTGCACCTTCCTTCCCTTCCACGATGCCTTCTCCTTGGTCTCTTGTTCCTCACACCCTTTTCCATCTTCTCACCCGGTCAAACAGGTAAACTCACAGCACAAAATGTTCTCCGTGCAATTCCGCAGTCACTTCATCTCTGTTATGGTTTGTTTGTTGTTTTCTTCCACCTTTCCTAGAAAAAAGAGCCAGTGGCACTGGCGAAGAAAACCAACAACACCTACAACATTGTTGGCACCACATATGCCCTCAACATTGCCAAGGAGCCCGGCCTGCCCACCATCTCCAAGAGTGCTGCCGCCACTGCTACGGCCACCAACATCCCCCCCAAGATGCCCCGCATAGAGGAGAAGCTCCCAGAGAGTAAGAAGACATACAACAGTGTCAGCAAGGTAGACAAGATGTCCCGCATCGTCTTTCCAGTTCTCTTTGCCATTTTCAACTTGGTCTACTGGGCCACATACGTAAACCGGGAGTCAGCTATCAAGGGAATGATCCCCAAACAATAAAACCAGTCACACAAACCTTCCATCACTGAGCACCATCCAGGCAGGAATTCTCCAGGGCTTTCTTCTTTCCTCTTTTGGTTAATTATTATGGTTCATTTGATATTATTATTATTACTACTATTAGATCATTCTTTTATAATGTAAACAAAACTGTGACTTTAATTTAATCCTCTATGCTTCAGTTGCATTTTAGTTTGTATATGATGGCGAAAGGGGGAAAAAAAAAAAGGACCGTAACAAGTTGTGCCTCTAACATCGTGAGTCTGATGTCCATCATCTGTCCAAGCCACCTTGTGCTTCCATCTCTCCTCGTCCACCTCCTGCTGTTCCCATGGTTTGCATGCCACTGCCATTCCGTGCTCCATTCTTCTGGGGGCTGCTGCTGTGGTTCACCCCTTCCTCCTCTTCTGCGATGGGCTGCCCTAACATGGTGGATTGTCCTGGTGGCCTGGGCTCAAGGATCAGTCCGGAGCCAGTCTAGTCCACTGGGTTGCTCTTCAGTGTGTGGCACTTTCTGGTAGGTGGTGCTCCTCAGGCTGTGGATGCAGGTGAGCTTGGTCTGTAGAGGGAACAGTGCGCCATGGGCCGGCTTGTAGCCAAGGACCTGCTGGGAGTGAAACCACCACTGCTGTGGTCTGTGGAGCCATTGCAGGAGTGGAACAGGGTGGCAGCGTCTTGTAAGTACCTACAGGGCTTCTTCCTCTGTCTTCACCAAACCCAGCTGCTGGTTTCTTCCATGTCTCTCCCCAGACAAGAAGAGATGAGAAAGGTCTTGTCCGTCTGCCATCCTGCACTCTTGGCACAATTCATGTTAGAGGATGGGGTGGTTCCTACCAGAGAAATAATTTTTTTCTCCTGGTCATTCAGGAAGTCCAGAAAGGAGCTTTGTATATATGCCTCAGAGGAGATGGTAGCTGCGAGCTGTGTGCATTGAGCCTCAATACTGGAAGCCATAGAATTTGTGCTCATGGGTGCTTTATCACTTTCTCCTGGCCTTATCCACTTATTCTTCTTGGCACCTCCTCTCTGTCCCAGCCCCCTCTTCCAGCTCCCCATTCATCTCCTTTTGGCTACTCAGCAGCCCTCAGTAGTATCTCTCAGCCTCCGGATGAATTCAGACAGAGAAGCCTCTACCTCTCAGGTCAGCCACGCCGATGGTGAAGAGCACAGCCTGGGGAAGTCCAGCTCATGGTGCATCCCTGCCCCTGTGCGCCAGAGCAGCAGCGATGGTAGTCGCA